CACTTTAAAAAACTTTGACGAAAAATTTGATACTTTGAAAAACTTTGGCGAAAACTTTGAAACTTTGAAAAACTTTGGCGAAAACTTTGACACTTTGAAAAACTTTGGCGAAAACTTTGACACTTTGAAAAACTTTGGCGAAAACTTTAATACTTTGAAAAACTTTGACGAAAACTTTGACACTTTGAAAAACTTTGGCGAAAACTATGACACTTTGAAAAACTTTAACGAAAACTTTGACACTTTGAAAAACTTTGGCGAAAACTTTGACACTTTGAAAAACTTGGGTGAAAACTTTGACACTTTGAAAAACTTTGGCGAAAACTTTGACACTTTGAAAAACTTTATCGAAAACTTGGATACTTCAAAAAACTTTATCGAAAACTTGGATTCTTCAAAAATCTTTATCGAAAACTTATATACTTCGAAAAACTTTATCAAAAACTTGGATACTTCGAAAAAATTGAAAAACTTTATCGAAAACTTGGATACTTTGAAAAACTTTATCGAAACCTTGGATACTTCGAAAAATTTGAAAAACTTTATCGAAAACTTTGATATTTTGAAAAACTTTATCGAAAACTTGGATACTTCAAAAAACTTTATCGAAAACTTGGATACTTCAAAAAACTTTATCGAAAACTTGGATGCTTTAAAACTATTTAAAACTTTATCGAAAACTTCAACACTTTGAAAAACTTTATTGAAAACTTTGATACCTCAAAAAACTTTATCGAAAACTTCGATACTTCAAAAAACTTTATCGAAAACTTGGAAATTTCGAAAAACTTTATCGAAAACTTGGATACTTCGAAATATTTTATCGAAAACCTGGTTGCTTTAAAACTTTGAAAAACTTTATCGAAAACTTTGACACTTTGAAAAACATTATCGAAGTCTCTGATACTTTGTAAAACTTAATCGAAAACTTGGATACTTTGAAAAACTTTATCGAAAACTTTGACACTTTGAAAAACTTTATCGAAAACCTGAAAAATTTTACAAAAATTTATCGAAAACTTTGTACTTTGAAAAACTTTATCGAAAACTTTGATACTTTGAAAAACTTTGGCGAAAACTTTGACACTTTGAAAAACTTTGGCGAAAACTTTGACACTTTGAAAAACTTTGGCGAAAACTTTGACACTTTGATTTACTATAGTATTTTTTTGTTAGGGAAAACCCGGTTTAACAGTCTCCTCGAATGGACCTGTCTCCTTGTCCCGAATTTAAATCTGCGACGTGAGGATTAACCTCTTACTCCAAGACTCTAAAGCAGATCCTGGAATCACTGCGTCTCGCTGGCGACGAAAGCAACACGTTAATTTAATATATAGCTATTATTAAGAATAAACATTTTAAACAGGTTTGCATTCACATTTTAGGAATATATGTACATTCGTAAGAAATATCCTTATATATTTTTTTAAAACGCATTAATTCACCGTTGACTAAAGTTGCAATTAAAAAAGACAGGGAGTCCCGTCTTAAAATAGCTGCAGAACTGTAGCTCTCTGAAAAAAAATAGTGTGTAAACTGACAGAGCTACAGTACCACCCTTTTGAAAAACTGTATTTATTGCGCACAAAAACAGGTAATGTTCCTTGATATATTTCTCTATTTTTTTAAAACTCTCATCAAATACATATCACAAAATTGAAACCGTGTGTTCCATATTCGTTCACTATAATTCTTTTTAATTGCTCTCCCGGCCCTGAATTTGATATCATCGAAAATTTTGCATATTTATAAAGCCATGTTGGTTTGTAAAAATAGCTGGGTCCAACGCGCTACGTACCGGTGAAAACTACGAGAGTACTTGATAGAAGAGTAAGGAATTTACTGAAATCTGGCTTTTTTGCAATTGAAGTATGAATTTGGAATAATTAATCCTACACCATGCGAATTTTTTTTTGCAGCAATAAGTTTATCTTTTTTTCAATGGGTGGCCCTGTCGCTCTCTGATCTGTCAATATATAGTTATTAGGAGAACTACAGTTCTGCAGCTAGTCTTAAAACACATCTATTCAATAGAGTTTTATACTTAACGAACAAATATAAAGTAGTTCAGGTGAATGTAAACATTTTACTTATTTTTCTTACATATTGTTTTTATTCTATTATTTCATAATTTATCCATTTGCTAACTTTAAATTTCATCATTTATTGATTTTTTTTATAATTTGGAAATGTTGTGACTTCAGGTGAAATTCTTAGTTATCCGCCGGAAGTCAGATGTCTACTGTATTGTTTACTGTTAAGTGATCAATATCGGCTGAATCTCAATGAACAATCTCACAGAATCATAAGGGACAAAATCAAAGATAGATGTTTTATAGATCTAAATGATGACGATTTGGTAGATCTTCCTGATGGAATCACAGAGACTCATAAAGGTGTTATAACCTTTATATCAGAGGACATCCGACATGACGTCATGAACGCCTTTGTTACGGAGTGTCTGGTGGAGGAGAGTGATCTGGAGTTTTTCCTGACCACGGCGTCACGTGACGTGATATCAGAATACTGCCGGACCTGGTGGTATACGAAGAGTAGGGGAGAGAGATGTCTGTATTTACCGGACAGTCCGGAGAAATTGTACTACCTCTTCATAGACAAACTACAGCTGGACATTATTACACACTGTACTGTGTCTGACAGGGGGATTCATGGAAGGATCAGTCGACTTTGTGAGTATATTTTACCACTTGTACATGTGTAACAAAAATTATTTATTTGAACTTTTCTTTGGTTTAAGTTCTATTAGTCATAGACTAGAAGAGCTTATGCGATAGTAATTCGTCCGTCCGTCTGTCTGATTGTCAGTCTAGGTGTCTTTGTATCGTTTTTTTTTTAATTTCGATGAACATTGTTGACTTGGTTACAAAAAAATAAATATTTTTGTGAAATACTTTCAAAATGTTCTTTCCTACATTTTTGTTCTGATTTTAATATAAACTGGCACACTATTAGACAACACTAATATACATAATTCCTTATTTTGGTTTTTGATGTCGATGAACAGCGATGTCATGGTTGCTAAAAATAGAAATTTCTGTGAAATGCTTTAAAAATCTTTCTCCGAATACAGTTCTAGTCTGATTTCATTATAATGTGGCATGTAGGTAAACTGCACTGAGATGCATATTTGTTTTTTTTTTTCATTTTGATGAGTGATGTTGCAATTGTAACTAAAGTAAAAAAAAATACTGTAAGATTTTCCTAAAGCTATTCCTTCAGTTGTTGTCGTTTATTGCAATATATTGCCCCAAAAGGAGAATTAATCAAGCTTCTTTATTCTATTAATAGCAGTTTGAAAGTTTCAAGTCGTAACTGCCATTTTTCTCTTCCTTTGTTAGTAGTACAGACCAATCGAGCTTCAGTCTTGACAGAAACTTCTGGTTTTTAAATATGAACATGTATTGGTGTTGTATGCTAATTATAGTAATATTTTTATGTATACATATTAAGAATTTCTTTATCATTTATTTTGCAAAAATAGTTTTTAATTATTCAAATGTAATGTAAGAACTACATGTGCATGTAAATAGGTACATAAAATGTAATCGCATAATATTTCTAATATTTGAAACAATATTATAACATGAATTATACAATATTTATTTGAAATATTCTGTCACACTTGAAAATAGTTAACATGTAATCAATAGGTATTGAGGAACTGTTCTGCGCAAATATTAAAGAAAGGCATCCTCTAAGAGATATTAAAGTACATAAGCCACACTATTATCCTTCAAAATTTTACAGTCAATCTGATTGGTTTAAAGCATGTCACATGATTGTACAGCTGTTGTCACCCTTTAAACGACAATGACATAAAGCTGGCATACATGGTTACAACGTGTTGTCCCCCTTGAGATGAAAATACAAGATTTAAAGCGAGATAGTTCTAGTTTATAATTATAGGATGGTTGATCCATAAGTTTGTGGAATTTCCTTCTTAAATATAATTGCGATTTGTTGAAAGCAAGCAAAATGTATATTTATGATATAAAGTCATTATGCAAAAATATTGGAAAATAACTCCAAATTCGAATTACCAATGTCACAAGAACTTAATCAAAATGGATAATTATCGAATGCGGAGTAGACTTCGGCGTAACGTTAAAAATGTCACGTCACGCTATAAGCGCACCTCACCCCTGACTTATTCAAATAATTCCATGTATTTCTACAGAATGCTGCCTTTTCTTCAATTATTACGCATAAAAATTATGGGTATCCTTTTGCACCGACTTATCTTCATAATAAACTCATAATTAGAATACTTTCGATCCTTCCAAATGATGTTCTAGTTTCGGTAGCAATTTCAAGCACAGAACGTTATCGGCTTACGTCCATTAACACTTACATGTAATTTGCCAACAAGGAAAAAACAAATTCTCCGAAAGGCGGCCACACCTTTAATCAATCGCGATGGAAGTACTATTTTTCTTAAATTTCTAACGGCACTGGAAAACTAGTTTCTTAATGCATTTTTCTCCAGCCTGTATAAGTAGTATACATGTTTAAGTGAGAGTGTTCATGAGATTTTCATAAAACTTATTAATTGACTGAAAATTGACGTGATATTACAATGTAAAGATCATCAACAATTCATCGACTAATAAATCAATTTTCCATTAAAATCAGTATGATATCACACAAAAGAGTCATGAGAGGTCAAGCAGTCGTAAGAATGACATTTTCGTTTTATATATCACTAGCTAAGTGCGGTTATTTTTCATTTCACGTATTAAGAATTTAGATGATAAAGAGCGAGTTCATGTCTCACCCTGATTATTAAACACCCGTTTCTATGGAAACTGCTCTAGGGTTTCTATCATGAACATTTGAAATATTTTTATAGAAAAAAAACAATAAGTGTTTATATTATCATTTGTACATTGTATTTTTCAATTATTTTTTCTTAGTAACAAATGAAATATGAAGAAATTTCGCAAAAGGTTGGATAAATCCAAGTACATGTACATGTACTTCCCAGTAAAAAAAATCTCCAGATTACAGTTTTTAGCAGATTTTCCTTGTTTTATTTTCTTGGTTTTGCTAATGTAAGACGTCCAAATGAATAAAATTTATCATTTATCATAGGTTTGCCTAAAATTATTTTTCCGGAACAGATACAGAGGTGACTACAGCCTTTTCAACAGTTGTTTACAATGCTGTTTGGAGTGTTAATAGTCATAATGCCGCTGCACTAGCACTGATTCTTTGTTGAATATTCCCTCAAATCCAGTCAATATGTAGTGTTATACCCTTTTTGCGTTTCTTTAGTTATATTGGTATTATAAATAGACAATATGATTAAAAAATATATTACTTTTCTTAAAAAAAAATGTGTATAAAGTATGCATTTAAAAATGTAATATTCCTTAAAAAAGTTGTTCTCCACCTAATACATGTAGAGAAAAAATATTAATGCCCATAAATGTCTTATAACCCTATAAGGTGAGGAGCAGGAGAAGGAAGGAGGTACATGTACATGTATGCTGTCAAGAGTCATGTCCTTCACACTAAAACTTAAATGAGAAATTGTCTTGAATTATATTACATTTATTATCTGGTGTATGATACAAGCATTGAGATCTCGTCTTTTTTTACGTTTTCTACTAGAATTATTTTATCATGTTTTTGTTGATGTTCTAATATGTGTACAAAATATAGATCAAGCTTTTAATGTTTTGAACACTCTATTTTTTTTGTCAGTGCTGCAGATGTACATGTATATTGTATCTAGTTTTAATTTTGTTTTTAAAACATAATAGTATATGATTATGCACTTATTTGTCGCACATGAAGGAATTTTAAGTTTGAAAAAAAGTTAGCGTCAAAGTTTTAAAAAAACGAAAAAAAAAAAAGAAAGGAAATATACCTATTTCTCAATTTATCCAAAAATCATAGAAAAATAAGTACAAAATTAAAATATAAACAGTGCAACTATTGCAGGATCTAAAAAAGAGAAAAACATAAAACTGAACAGACTCGAAGGAAACAATATCAATTGGGGGGAGGGGGGTAGTACAGCTTAACATTTTCAGTGGAGGGAGGGGGCCATTATCAACCAACAATCATTCCTTGGCAAACAAAAGGGTCATTTTTAATGTAGGGTGGCCACAGCCATATAAAGTATAACTACATGTGAACGTTTTCCTTAGTTTTCTATACTTAGTAATGATGCTTTAATTATTTTACGTCAACTTATTACTAACATATTTTAGAGAGCTATATGCAAAAGTTTGAAGTTTAAACTTAAGTGCCTGTCTCAGAGAAAACCATGCAAATTGAAAAAAAATGTCCAGATGCATTATAGTAGTAAATTTAAAAGTGACCCATACAAATAAAGATTTGGTCCAAATGACCTAAAATACGATTTACATTTTGTCGTAAGTTGTTGCTATTTTTAGTAACGGGGATTATTTGTTTTCCTATAAATAAGTGTAAAACGAGCATTGACATTCATTGAAAATGATGCATTTTAAGTGCGTCTTTTAAACATATATGCTATAATTTTTATTTCAATGTTGCATATGTCATGAAAGTGCAATAGTAGTTAATTATACTCATTAAAAAAAAATTACATACATGTTTTGTATTTAGCCACATTATATCGGGGAATATACAAAGAATCTAGATGTTAGCAATAAAGGCTTTTTTTTCAAAGTTTGGTTAAACGTAACTTGAAGCGAGGATAATTTTTTTATTTGAATTATACTGTTTTGAATTTATTCAATATAGAAGAAAAACATATTTAAAAAATGTCGTTGGCAAACAACTCTGCACCACAGAAAAAAATTCCAATTACGGGTGAATTTTTCAATATTAATCTTGAATTAAAACATGCCATTTCATGCTAAAAAATGTTACATAAATGATTAAATGGTATTTTCATAACATAATAATTTTTTATTAATAGAAAAGAAATCTTTTTTTAATTTAAATGCCTTTAATTCTAATATTTAGATTTTTTTGCATTTGCCTAGTCAGAGTTTAGGTCCCCTTGCGCAACTCTCCTTCTTTAAAGGTAAATAATTGCACAGGAAAATGTCTATGGGGAAATATTAATAATGGCACATAAAAGCAGGCAACTTTCTATGGAAAAACTCACATTTTAATGCAAACAAAATGAGTAAAAATTCACAAGGATGTGATTTTCATAAATTTTCCTAGATTCCGTGTCATGAAACAGAGGAATATCTCGTGTAGTTGATTGTGACAGAAGCACTGAAAAACGTCTAGCATGTTTGAAGTTCTCAGAGTGTATTAAGTCTTTTTTGTCAAGCCTGGGACACCGTAAACTTGAAACAAGCTAGTTCAGAGAATTTATATGTCTTCCGTAAGGGCAAATGTAAACAATGCGCAGTTCGAGGGGAGGGGGTGGGGAGACGGATCCCCTTGACTGAATTTGTAGAATTATCAAATGTATGTACGTGTAATCCGAGATTCCTCTGATTCTAAACCCCGCTTTTATATTATGACGTAGCAACAGGGGGGCCAGAGGGACCCTGCCCCCCCCCCCCCCCCCCCCCCACTTTTTTTCCCAACCTTACTCATGCTATAGGAAATGTCAATTGAAAGCGTGGTTGGCCCCCTCACTTTTAATGATGAACTGCAAATGTAGTATTAGAACTGGTACTTAAAGTAGTTGAGACTGAGGAAAAGTTTACCTCCT